CTGTGGCATACTCTAATGTTCTCTTACTTTATCCCTGGAGGATGAGGAGGAGGAGGCGCTTGTTCCCTGGGCAGTGCATTTAATAGCCATTTATTATTTTTGAGTGGAGTTTGTTAAGAAATTACACGAGTCAGTAATCAGAAAATCTTGATTCTGAGTTGTTTAGATGTTGCCTTTTAAGAAAGTGAGGGTGCCAAATCATTAAATTTCTAACAATTAACTTTTGGAAAATTTTTGTTCTTAATAGGAACAAGAGTACAGCTGTGTAGTAAAGATGCCTTCTGGTGAATTTGCACGTATATGCCGAGATCTCAGCCATATTGGAGATGCTGTTGTAATTTCCTGTGCAAAAGATGGCGTGAAATTTTCTGCAAGTGGAGAACTTGGAAATGGAAACATTAAATTGTCACAGACAAGTAATGTCGATAAAGAGGAGGAAGCTGTAAGTAGTTTTTAAGTAAAAAAAATAGTTTGAAGAGAATTGTAATACTGCTTATTAGGTTAATTGCTAAAATTAAAAGTAGACAGAATTGGATCCCAAGTAATTTCTGAAAATTGAGATACTGTTGAAATCTGCAACTGATTTGTGTCATCCAATTTAGAATTATATTTGCAAGAAGGGAATACAAATTCAGCACGTGTACATACCACAGAACAATGGTTTATGGATCAAGCCCACACAGGCTCTTAAGGGTAGGATTGGGAAGCTAGGCATCTAACCTTTAGCTTTCTGGAGATATTTACTCTTACCAAATAATTAAGCATAGAACAGCAACTCTATAGAAGGGTATGGTTAGGAGTAAAAGTCTACCTGTTAGGAGCGCTTATGTAATCCTTATATTAGCGTACATGTTGTGGGTCCAATTGGTAGCCCATTTTAAAGGTGGAGAAGCAGGCTGAGCAACCTTAAGTGACAATTTAGCCAAAGTCACAGGCTGTATGAATCAAAGGTTAAACAGGAAGACTTCTCACTAAGGCTAGAAAGCAGACTCCATGCAACTTGGAGAGTACTTAGAGAGCCCTTGCTTAACCAAAATAGAAAAAATTAGCCGGGCATGGTGGTGCACACCTGTAACCCCAGCTACTCGGAAGGCTGAGACAGGAGAATGACTTGAACTGAGGAAGTGGAGGTTGCAGTGAGCCCAGATCATGCCACTCCCCTCCAGCCTGGGTGACAGAGCAAGACTCCATCTTAAAAAAAAAAAAAAAAAAAAACTCGGTAACCTGAGCATAAATTAAAACTTGGGAAATCAAGGACGAAGGTCCTAATCTCATAAGCTTGTTAGGATTAAATATGGTAACATTAAAGAGCTTAGCATATGCTGTGTCTGGCATATTACAAGCTTACAATAAATACTATATATTGCTTTCTTGTCCCTTGAATGGGTAGTCAACATTTAGTTTAAATAAAGTTGTAAAATTCAGTTGGAAGTTGTTTTTTTTTTTTTTTATTAATAAAGGCTAGGAGCTGATTCTTTATCTGTTTCCTGAAACACATTTCCGCTCCTCTGCTAACCTTATTTTTTTTCTTTTTCTGTTTTTCTTTGTTTTTGAGACAGGGTCTTGCTCTGTCCATCCAGGCTGGAGTGCAGTGGTGCAGTCATGGCTCACTACAGCCTCAAACTCCAGGGCTTAAGTTGATCCTCCTGCCTTGGTTTCCCTAGTAGCTGGGACTACAGGTGTGTGCCAACACACCTAGCCTGGTTTCCTCTAATTTCATTCTTCCCCTTCCATTACAGTCTCTTTGTTGAAGAAATTAGATGATTTGTTAAGTTTTCCAGAGTTTGGATTTTGCTGATTGCATTCCTGTGTATACGTAAATTCTTCCACCCTGTGTCCTACAGACTGGTAGCTATAGTCCTGGAGCCTTGATGATATTCAGGATGTTTTGTTTCGGGGGTGAGAGAGCACGAATACTTTATAGGTGGTGGTGTGTGCCTCTAGTAGAAGGCACAAGGGGTCTGGATGTCTTCGCAGTGTTAGCAGCTATAATAGTCATTGTCTAGATCCATTAAGTCATTGGAGTTTGCAGAGCTGAAATTAATACATTTCATTCATTTATTAGCTGCTTATCAGAAGAATTTCCATAAAGAAAAGCTTTCCCATATTATATAATTTGGTTATCTAAATTATAGGAAAGACGAGCTAGATACTCGATTCTTTTGCTTTATGCATCAGTCTTCAAAATTTTCATAGCTCCCTCCAAAGTGACTAATAAAAGTGTTTGTGGGTTTTTATAAATGCAAGCTAATAGATTGCAACTTTCTTGATGTTTTTCAATGATGAATCTTGTTTTCTCTTGTAGGTTACCATAGAGATGAATGAACCAGTTCAACTAACTTTTGCACTGAGGTACCTGAACTTCTTTACAAAAGCCACTCCACTCTCTTCAACGGTGACACTCAGTATGTCTGCAGATGTACCCCTTGGTAAGATAATAAATTTGAACCTTGTTTTGTAGGTAGTATATGTGATACTCCTCCGTAATTAACTATCTTCCGGTCTTTCAGTTGTAGAGTATAAAATTGCTGATATGGGACACTTGAAGTACTACTTGGCTCCCAAGATCGAGGATGAAGAAGGATCTTAGGCATTCTTAAAATTCAAGAAAATAAAACTAAGCTCTTTGAGAACTGCTTCTGAGATGCCAGCATATACTGAAGTCTTTTCTGTCACCAAATTTGTACTTTTAAGTACATATGTAGATATTGTTTTCTGTAAATAACCTATTTTTTTCTCTATTCTCTGCAATTTGTTTAAAGAATAAAGTCCAAAGTCAGATCTGGTCTAGTTAACCTAGAAGTATTTTTGTCTCTTAGAAATACATGTGATTTTTATAATACAAGAGGGTCTTGACTCTAAATGCAGTTTTAGAATTGTTTTTGAATTTAAATAAAGTTACTTGAATTTCAAACATCACAGGGCAGTGCCTTCATTTTTTGACCAGGACTGTTGGAAGTATCCTACTGAATTCCCAGCTACAGCTACCCTTTCATGTAAATGGTTTTTCAGTTTAGAGCAGCCTGATGGAGATCAAAAGGATTTCAAATACAGTAGGTTACTAGATATTTTAGGGGGATTCGCTTGTCAAACTTGTTATTCCAATTTGAGGACGAGGAACAAGTGAGAGTAGTACAAATCCTGTGTACTTCGTTTTACTTGGCAAAAGTTAATACTCTTCAGAATCTTCGTGTACCCAAAGTCGTGTTGGCTTTATAAGGATGTTAATGGAGTGTTTCTTTTTAGCCTAGGGAGTCCTACAAGAGTCTTTGATGTTTCAGTAGATCTGTAATGGGGCCCAAGGAGTATGGTTCTGCAAAATTTCTCTAGTATAAATACACTTTTTGCAACTTCACTCACATAAAGGATGAAGATGTCTTAAATTCCATGGATGTTGGATCCAACCAAGAAAGTGAAAAAGCCCTGAAGTTACGAAGAAAGACTTAAAAACATTCCCATTAATAGCTGTAAGATAACTGTGCTGTGTATTAATTTTTTGCGTGGTGCAGTGCCTCACACCTGTAATCCCAGCACTTTGGGAGGCAGGCGGATCAACCAAAGTCAGGAGTTTGAGACCAGCCTGGCCAACATGGTGAAACCCCATCTCTACTAAAAATGAAAAAAAAAAAAAACTAGCTAGGCATGGTGGCGCATGCCTGTAGTCACAGCTACTTGGGAGGCTGAGGCAGGAGAATCGCTTAAACCCGGGAGGTGGAGGTTGCAGTGAGCCGCGATCATGCCACTGCACTCCAGCCTGGGCAAGAGTGAAACTCCATCTCAAAAATACATATATATATTTTTGGCTGGTTTGATAGTAGTAGATTATCAGAACTTACATTAGTGTCACTAAAGTAGGTATACAACCCCCGCTGCTAAATTTGGCTTTAGAAAAAGCATTTTTTAAAATTGCTTTATCATAATCCTTTTTTCCAGTGCATTTTTGTTTGGTAGATTAAATGACTAGTTTCTTTATTAAATTACTTGGACTGAGTTCTAGTTACTGGACATGAGAATTAACCATGTCCAGTAGTAAGTATTCATTTTCCTACAGTGTGCCTCTGAGTGAAGAAGGAAACAGGCTGCAAAAGAGGCTGATGGAATTTTGGGGTGATGAATGTATTTCCATCTAGATTGGTGATGGTTCTAGGACCATACGTATTTTCAGAGCTCATCTATTTGTACTTGTGTATAAATTATACCTTAATAAACAACTTTCTGAAAAGCTTCATGTGCAGCAAAATGTCCCTTGTGGGCAGGCCTTTTACCTGGACAAGGCCTGAAAATAAGCACAAGTTTGTGGAGCTATTCAAGGGAAGTATAGTGGGGTATTGATAGCACAGTTTACAAGTGTGCTATTCAAGGGAAGTGTGGTAGTGGGGTGTTGAAGGCGAGCGCCCGTGGAAGGCTGGCGTCTTGCAGCGGATATCTGGCCGCACTGACTTCTGGTCCTGAGGCTGCGACGGACTCGGCTTCTGCCTCCCTGGGAAGCCATGGCGCTCTCTAGCCTGGCCCCTGTTCTAAGGAAGGGAGAAACCACGTAGCTGGCTTGCCCTGGGCCTGACGGTGACCCAGGTGGGCGAGGACCCTAGGTGCTCGCCCGCCACAGTGGAGGTAGCCGGCGGCGGGCACAGGTCTCGGCTGCCTAAACAAAACCCACGAATCGGCATTCGGCCCGTGCAGCCCCGATGCCTCCTGCAGCTGATACTCGGTAAGTGATAGCCTGGGAAGCTGGTTGAGGAAACAAACGCTTCCGGAGACGCAACTTCCGACGCGCCTGTTTCCGACGCGCCTGTTTCCGGCACGCCACTTCCGGCGCACTGATCCCGGCTGGGGCGGGCTGAGTGGCCCTTAAGCGGGCCGTACCATGCGACCTCGTGCGCTGCCAACCGTGGGCGAGCTCTGGGTGTGCGGGCGGCCTGGCGCGGCGCTCCGGTAAGGCGTGTGTGCGACGGGGCGGGGACAGAACCGTCCTCTTGGGCTCTGGGCGTGTCCGAGACCGCGCTTCCCGCCGAAATCAAGCTCTGAGTCATCGGTGTGGGGCATTCGTCCTCCCTGGCAGTTTGTTTTACGTCTAAATTCGCGTCGGTTCTTATTTATCTCTCTGGCAAGGTCTGAAGACGGGCAGGAGAATAACGTATGTAGAGACTCGTAATGCCAGGCACTGTGCCAAACGTCTTATGATGCTTTTAGAACTCTCGTAACATTCAGGTGCTGAGGGAGTTTGGGGGTAGCGGTGAGCTGGTAAAAAGCCTGTTGGTAACGAAGACTGATACTTTGAAAATGCTCTTTTTTCTTTTCCCCCTCTTTTAGAATCCTCTTTGCCAAGAGTAAACATTCGTCTCCCCTCTCCCTCACGCCCCTGCGATGTGTTGTTTTGATGCGGATGTATGAATAATGTCAGGACGTACTTAACAAAAAAGTCTAAGTGCAAGTTAGATGTGGTTAAATTCCTTCAAAAACCACACATATTGGTAGTTTGAACTTGTATAGAATTAAATGCAGTCGGGATCACAACACTAAAAACCTAGTGTTTGACGCAGTTTGATCCAATCTTTTTTGAAAAGTATAGAGATTAGCATTATGCTCATTTTTCAATACTTGATTTCTAGACCAGGATGTAATCAATAAAAAGGGACACTAATATTTAGCACCAATTATTTAATTATGCTAGTTACTTTGCATTGACTGCAAGCCACTTAAAACAGTTTGTTAGGCCGGGCACACTGGCTCACGCCTATAATCCCAGCACTTTGGGAGGCCGAGGCGTACGGATCAAAAGGTCAGGAGTTTGAGACCAACCTGGCCAATATGGTGAAACCCGTCTCTACTAAAACTACAAAAATTAGCCAGGCATGGTAGCAGGCGCCTGTAGTCCCAGCCACTTGGGAGGCTGAGGCGGGAGGCGGGAGAGTCGTTTGAACCCTGGAGGCGGAGGTTGCAATGAGCCGAGATCGGATCACTGCACTCCAGCCTGAGTGACAGAACGAGACTCCGAGACTCCGTCTAAAAAAAAAAAAAACACCAAAAAAAGAAAACAATTTGTTAATTTTTGGAATTAAGTATGTGCAAAGTACTTAGAACAGCTGGCATCTAACAAAGACTAGGTAAGTACTAACCACCATTATTGTGATGATGATAATGATGAATTTTCAAAATGCCAACCCAGAAAAAAACTAGTCCTTTTTTTATGTTGCCCTTATGCCCTTATTGAAATACTTCATTTTA